AGGCAAAGAGATAATTTCATTTAATTTGACAAAACACATACGGGTAATCATTATCTTTTTTGTTTTTGATTTTCCATCCGGTTTCTAGAACATGTATTGAATTCTCGAATAAATTTGAATTGCACACTGCAATGTCTTTTGGAGCGGCTCTCCCAACATAATTTTCTTCATACTCAAAGCTTAAACTTGAAATTTTTGGTTTAGGGTAGAGCAGTCCACCACCAGTGGCGGAGGGAGGATTTTCAACAAGGGGGTTCAAAAAAAATTAATCACGTAAATAATATCCACAAATAAACGGGTCGGATTAAACGGATCAAATCAAGAAGAAAAGGGTTTTTTAATATTTGACTTTGTAATTAAGGGTTAAACTAATAAATCCTAAATTCCCAATCAGCGTTTTAATTTTTTGGAACTAAACTTCGTTTTCTGATTGCATTATTATTTTTTAAAAAAATTAACGTCTAAAATATAAGCTGATAAAAAAATGTCTTTGCCCAGATTCGAACACGCAACATGCGTGCAATAGAGCAAATTCCTGAACCCCCAACGCCACTGAACTACGCCTTTGGTATATGTTCAGGGGGTTCAATAGTATATATATATATACACGTAAATTAATATTTTAATCTTTATATATATAGTGTAATTTTTTTATAAAAGGGGTTCGGATGAACCCCCATGATTCAACGTAAATCCGCCCTCATGTTAATCTGGTAACCATTATGTAGTTGTCTTTTATATTGCTTCTAAATAGTGCAACTAGTCTTGTTTCATACGCACGTACTAGTTGCAATATAAAATGCAAGGTATAGTTATCAAACCCCTAATAATGAGTCCCCCATCACAATTATTCGTCTTTTTCTATGGCTTTTATTAGAGAAAAAAATAGAATAGAATATGGGTTTAGAATTATTGCAGACAAACTCATACGCCTAGTACTCATTAATATATTAATTTGTACCGACATATCACTTGATAGCTAAACTCTGGATTAATTATAAATTTTAAAGTTGAAATTTGAAAAATTGAGTTATTGACATTGTAATTTTTAAAATTTAAAGTTGTATTACGGTCAATAGGTAAGACCACTCTATTACTTAGCTATCCCTTGGAAAAAAGATATTTGAATGATAAAGTTTCAAAATTTACTTTCAAATATCTATGGTCAAACGTTAGCTAAATTAATTGTGATAACTATTGGTGCACTTGACATATACTACGTACTAGCTATGTCTCAGAACACTTGTTGTATTTTTATTTACACATCTTTAAGAAAATATTAGTTAGGAGTAATGATATTTTATCCTTATTAATGTCTTCAGATATAATCTATTTTTATTGATTTCTCTATTTATATAATATATTTGAAGTGTATTTAGTCTTCAAAAATGAGAATTTACAATTAAAGGTAAAATAAGAAAAAAAAAGTTAATTTTATCATGAACATCTAAAATAACAAATATTTTGAGACAAAATGACAATAATATTTTGAAATTAAAAAAATGTATAGGTATACCATAAATGAAAAATCATATTATTCATTTATTTGATGAAAACTTTTCAACATCTAAAGCTATCACATCGCACAAGCAATTGCAATAATCGTTAGGTATGGGTTGTTTATTTTTATAACAAAAAAAAAAGGTAATTTCTCCCTGTTCCATTATTGCACTTTGTTTAAGTTGCGCAATTTAATTAATTAACGTCATGTGGTGATCTGATCCTCTTGAGTCTAGTGTCACGGACTTAGAGTCTTACTAAAGCTCCGCGCGGCACTTGACAACTTACTCACGAATCTTTTACGATCTTGTAAGCTCAAGTAAGCCTTTACGACTAAGATCGCTAAGAGAATGAAAAGGAAGACTTAGAGAATTTTGGAAGAAGGCTTATATTGCTTGGAGAATGCTTTACAACTTGCTTGCTTGGAGTCTTGGTTGGTTGGATGGTGCCTTGCAAATGAGGGGCACCTCCTATTTATACTAACTCCTAGGGACTAAAGTAGAATTTTAAATTACTTTCTAAGTCCCTAAACTTATTTACACTTTGGTCCTAGCTCTAGAACTTTCTACACACTCTAGGACCTTCCATTGCCTTCTAAGTCATTCTAGAGAATTCTAGGGAATTCTCTAGCCTTCTTGAATAATCTAGAGGGTTCTAGAGTCTTCCGGAAACCTCTCCACAACTCTAGGCCCTTCCGCCCCTATCCGGACGCCAAATTTAACTGTGATGTGGCGGGACGTGGCACTCTCCCCCACCTATTAATGCGACGACCGCGTCGCATTGCCGCTACATCGTCATCCGAGCCTTGTGCGTGCGCGACCAATAGTCCATTAACTCGATTAAGGCCCTTGCGCAACTCCTTCAACATCTTCCATAGCCCTCTTAACTCGGACTTATGGCTCATCTCCTTCTTAGGATGTGCGCGCCTCGGCAGCTTCTTTGGCATCACGGCATTGTTCTCTTTTGGCACCTTTTTCATGCACGGTGGCAAGGACCTTCTTGCACCATTGTCCTTCTTCGAACTTGCAATGGTGGCTCTAGACATCGACTCCTTCTTCTTAGGGTTTTTCTCGAGCTGCATGGCCGTTAGGCGGACTTGTCCTTCCGTCTTCGGCACCTTGACTAAGGGCACCATACATGATCCTCCTTGCTCCATGACTAGAAGTCGTTGGAGGTAGGGATCGATCACCGCGTGGCACTGCTGGAAGAACTCCTGCCCAAGAATTATGTCAAAGAGATCTAAAGGAGCGACAGTGAAGTTGGCCTTACCTTGCCACTCGCCTAGCGTGATGCTCACTCCATGCGCGACTCCACACACGGGAGTCGGGGATGCATTGACCGTCCTGAGTTGGGCGTTGCTTGAACTGTAACTCAACCCCAACCTCGTTGCTGCCTTTTTGGTCATAAGATTGACCTCTGCACCCGTGTCGACCAAAGCACAAGCGGGGTTTCCATTGATCTTAAGGTCGACATACTGTGCGCCGTATCCTCTTGGCTTCTCTGGCTGCTTCGTGATGGCTCCGCATAGTCCTATCAAGCCCAACTGCGTCGTCTCTGCGCCTTGTCCTTGCTCCTGTGCGTCTTTCTCCTTCCGCTCTCGCAGGATAGCACCAAGGCTCTTCAGTTCAGGGCACCTTGCATAACCATGCGGCCCACCGCATATGTAGCAGCCACCTTTGTTGGCAACCTCTAGCTTCCTCTCTGTGTTGCCATGATGTCCAGACTTCTTGCCATCGGACTTATAGGTGTCATGCTTCTTGGGATGTGGCCGCTGCTCCTCGCCTTTGCCACGATCTCCCCCACCATGGTCATGACTACCTCTCATCTCTTCTCCTATGGCTCTGTCGGGCTTCTCCTGCCTGAAGTCTGTTAAAGCTTCGGCCTGCGTGATGGCTTCATCTATGGTCCTGACTTACCGACGTTCCAACTCCGTCCTGGCCCAATTTTGCAGCCCATCCATGAAGTGGAACAACATATCATCATCTGTGAGGTTAGGAATTTGAAGTGTGAGGGTAGTGAACTCCTGCACATATGCGCGGATGCTGCCCGTTTGCTTCAGCTCCCTAAATTTGCGCTTCGCCTCATAGATGACGTTGTTAGGGAAGAAGGCTTTCTTGAACTCCTCCCGAAATTGCTCCCAGGTGTTGATGGTGAACGTCCCCTTCCCTATCTCGGCATCCTTGCGCCTCCACCATAGCATGGCCATCTCCGAAAGATACAACACAGCGGTGTTGATCTTACTCTCGTCGCTCTTCAGCCCGTTGCACTTGAAGTAATTCTCCAAATGCCAAAGGAAATTCTCCACCTCTTGCGCGTCACGGATGCCTTTGAACATATGTGGCTTGGGAGCCTCGACCCTGACCTCCCTATCTCGGTCAAGCGATGATGATCCTCCAACTGCCACACCTTCCTTGAGTGCTTTCATCTCGGCCTTCATGGTCTCAATCGTGCTCAATGCCTCCATGAGCCGACACTCCAAGGAAGTGATAGCCTCCTTCATCTCAAACTCGGCCCGCTGACGTCCCTCCAACTCCTTACGGATGTTTTCGGTCTCTTCAAGGGTGAAGTCCTCAAGAGTCTTGAACTTGCCATCAGCCATGTTCAAACGCCGGCCTAATATCTCCACGGCTTGCCTTGCCACTTCAACCCTTGCGACCCATTCTTCTCCAGCGGTGACGTCAATAGGCTCCTCGCCACGTTCATCATCACTTGCTTCGGTGGTCGAAGGTGGATGAGATATTAGCGCCTCGCTTGGTGTGGGATCCAACAGCATTTCCTCATGACTCTTTTGGTGCTTCTTTCCTTTTCGGGCCTTTTTTCCACCATCCGGACGGACGTTGGTGGTGCTAGCGGCGTTTACGTCCCCTTCGGTTGCCATTCCCTTAGTGCAAACCTTCGCTCTGATACCATTTTGTCACGGACTTAGAGTCTTACTAAAGCTCCGCGCGGCACTTGACAACTTACTCACGAATCTTTTACGATCTTGTAAGCTCAAGTAAGCCTTTACGACTAAGATCGCTAAGAGAATGAAAAGGAAGACTTAGAGAATTTTGGAAGAAGGCTTATATTGCTTGGAGAATGCTTTACAACTTGCTTGCTTGGAGTCTTGGTTGGTTGGATGGTGTCTTGCAAATGAGGGGCACCTCCTATTTATACTAACTCCTAGGGACTAAAGTAGAATTTTAAATTACTTTCTAAGTCCCTAAACTTATTTACACTTTGGTCCTAGCTCTAGAACTTTCTACACACTCTAGGACCTTCCATTGCCTTCTAAGTCATTCTAGAGAATTCTAGGGAATTCTCTAGCCTTCTTGAATAATCTAGAGGGTTCTAGAGTCTTCCGGAAACCTCTCCACAACTCTAGGCCCTTCCGCCCCTATCCGGACGCCAAATTTAACTGTGATGTGGCGGGACGTGGCACTAGGCTGTAATGAGAAATTAAATTAATAGAGATGTGCGCCTTTTAATATAAAGGAACAAAATTGCCAAGAAGAAAACAATTAAAATGTTGAAGCAAGTCGTTATTATAGCAAAGTGAGGGTGAATAGGAAAAGTCGAAAGACATAAAACATGAAATAAAAAAAACTACCCCCCTTTGTTAATTAATTAGCATGCTTGATGATTAAAATTTGCTTAGAATCAACTAATGTAATACATAGGATCAGGGACTTTGAAAGTACGAGCTCCAACGTTTTCTCCGATTAAATCAGTCCATTGATCTCCAATATTACCAACAATTCTATATCCAGCTTTAACCAATTCTGTTCTCTTGCTTGATTTAAATTGCACTGCTGATCCCGAATCATTTTCTCCCCTGTAAAGTCATCCATCATCCAGTCAAATAAATTTACATAAATTTAAACGAAAAAATACGTAATAATACTGAAAATACGAACATATTGCTTACTTTAGTATAAGCGCTGCCCAGTTGGTATAACCAACTTTCTTGAGATTGACAATCCTCACTTGTTTGAAATTTTCTCTCGTCCCTGTAATGAAAACGGGCTTGATCCCCAAAGACAACACAGTCTTGTATACACCCAGTATCGAAGGAATGGCTGGTGCTTTTCCCTCCGCTAGCCATGCACTAAACTTTGTGTTGTTGTACGCTATAGCCCTGCACAAAAATGCATTGAATATCTACTTGATCGTACATACATACATATATATAATTACAATCAGATATGAAATTTTAGTTACGATGCGATGTTGTAAGTGTATTTTACTACATTTAGAAATCAAAATGCTACTACTCCATATGTTTTGGATTAAAACAAAATCTAACTATATTTGCAAAAATGGATGCTAATTAATAGCGCTATTTATGAAATTTCTCATCTATCTATGTACCTACTAGAAAACGTAATAAGCGGACACACACATAAAAATTATTATACTAATGTTTTTTATTTTTTACCCAAAAGCAACGTCGGATCGTGCGTAGTAAGGAAGATTTGAGAGAGTGGTCTCATCAATATCAAATACCCAAACGTCCTTTCCATCTCCGCCAAGTTTGAGGGCTTTGGCATATTCAATAGCCTGTTTGGCAACATACTCACAGTCACGTCGATATTGTTTGCCTAACATGTAGTGACCTACATAGTTTGTACATTCTTTAGGCACCAATTTCCAGTTTTGGAGGTTGTTCGTCTCCACGGCGAGGCGCCAGCTAAGACAGTCCAATTGTGGGACGGTATAACCAGCGGAACCAGTTTGTGGCCTTAGACGGTGAATTTCTACTACTTGGCTAATGACCTCTTCCACATTAGAGGCCAATGCCACAGCTACTATAGCTGAAAACAAGAAGAGAATAGTGAAACACCTCATTTTGATGGAAGAGAAGAAAGAAGATGTTGAGATTATATTGCTCGGATATGGTGCCCTTATATAAGATCCTCAATCTCAACTACCTCTCAAAAGCAATCAAGAGAATATATAATTAACTAATAAAAATGTGTTTTTTCTAATAGTTTAAGCTTTAAGATGAGACAATCACACTTTCACATGGTATCAGAGCAGGTCCATCTCACTCAATGTTGGGGCTCTCAAAATCAAAATTGCTCACGCACATAAGCTAGTTGTGAGTTAGACTTTAAGACTTAATTTCACACAACTAGGTCATCACGTGTTTCACGACATGGATTATGATATGATTTGACAGGATAGGCATGTTTCTCTATGAGGATTTGTTAAAATCCTTCTTTTTTCATATCCTTGTAACTTAGCTTATACTTTTTAAAAAGGTCATGTTCGGCTGGGAGGATTTCCATTTTTCATCTTTAGTCTGTCAAAATATTTTATTTAACAATAAGATTTTCAAGTTGTTAGGATCGAAATAATTGGGTGTAATGCAGAAGTTAGCAAAGCAAACCTCGAAAGACCACGAGTAAGAAGACAAATGAGAAACACACCAAAAGGGACAGATTTAACGTGGTTCGGTCAATCGACCTACGTCCACAAAGGAGATGAGCAATCCACTATATAAACATGAGAGTACAAAATATAGAGAGAATTAACCTCAACCAATTCACTCGGAATACATGGGAGGTTCACACAAGTGATAACTTATCAAGCTTGTGACCCACAAATTCTTCCTCTAACCAAAACTCTTAAAGTCCTTAAGACTACATTTTGAATGTTGATTAAGTTAGAAGGAACAAACCTCTATTTATAGAGTCCTAAACCTTTTCTTACAAGAAAAGGACTCGCCAATTCAAAACCTTTTCCTAAAAGAAAAACCTATTTATGGTAAGAAACTCAGGGTAAATAATACCCAATACAAGTGACATTCTGTGTTAATTGTATTGGTTGAAATACACCGAGTTGAGATTATTTGACCGTGCCAAATCGAGCGATGCCGGCAGAGACATAGACCACCAAATCATCCAACATCCTAGAACTTGGTCCTAGGCCCGGTATACACCAAAATATCCCGGCTTTCAATTAATCGCGCTAAATGACCATAATAGTCGATACTATATTCATGTAACAATTGTAACGGACGTGATCCACATGATCAAATTAAGTTAACTTATCCTATAAATATATTATAAATATCCCTATCGATATCTTGATCAATATCGTATTCTTCTGGCACAATAATACTATTATAAACACTAACAAGCAAAAGCATCATCATCCTCTTTCCATGCCGGGACAGCTAGCGTGCAAGTCAATTTATTGCGGGTGACGTACATGTATTTTATTTATTCATACACCCTCTAATTTAAAAATAAATAAATTTTTGAGGCGTGAAGAAAATTTATTACTGACATTAATTAGAGAGTAGTTGATTTGTCAGTATTATATTTTTGCTTCTTCTAGAATTCTTTTTGAATCTAGAGATATTTGAAAACACATCCTCATTAAAGAGATGAGTAATTTTGGAAGAAAAGACGTAATACTGATACATTTGAAAAATTTATTTGTTTTGGAATAGAATAAGTGTTGAAAATGAACTTATTTTGAAGTGAAGATAGTAATAACACTTACTTACCCTAATTTCACGTATTCTTATGGTTCTCATAATTGTTAATCTAACGACATCGAATTTAGAAATAAATAAAAAACTTCTACTCCCTCTATTTCAAAATAAGTGCTGTTTTTTTTATTTGGACACGCCCTTTAAAAAAATTACTCATTCATAAAACGTAAGATGTATTTTTACTAATTTATTCTTAATAAATACCTTGAAAAAAATGTAATTTTAAAGTATTTTCTTACTTAAATAAATTTCATTTTTTAAATGAGAATAAAATTAAAAACATTATTAATATCTTCTTAATGATGTGAAACATTATTTATTTTAAAATAAAATAAAAAAATTAAAATTCCACATTGAAATAGAAAAATAAAAAGATACCGGATCATAATTTTATCGAATAAATAAATTGCCATGTCTCTGGCGTGGTTTGACATCCCACTGTCTTTCCACCAACCCCCTTTGAAGAGATAATAATAAGGGAAAAGGGATGGATTTATTCCTGAACTTTAATAAATGGTATATATATGCCCTTCGTTATACTTTGCGTCCACATAAGCCCATGTCGTTCAATTATAGGTACACATATACCCCTTTCACTAACGGACCCCTATTTTTTTACACGTGTCTTAATCCTAGTGAACTATCCGTTTGATCACTTTTTTAACCCATAACCCAACTATCCGCCCATAACCCAATACCCACCCAATTTCCTCTAAAATGAATCATAATTAAAATACCCAAATTAATACTATTGGTCCCCACCCGATTTTTGAATTGTGTAACTTAAATGAAAAACGTGTCATATAATGTATTAACGTGTTTTTAAAATTTTGTGATAAGTTGAAATTAAAGAATTATTTATTCATATTAATGCTTAAAAAAATATGGTGGAAAATTATACGAAACAACAAAAATGAAGTGAAAGAATATAGTAATTTCTCATCGCCAAAATGGAAATTTACAGAACAATTATATTCATTTTCATTAATATTTCACAATTGTGAATATTTGAGTAAAAGAGAAAATATAATTTCTCACTATTTTCCATTTATGTACAATATTGAATATCCTCGAAAAAAAGATAATTTTACCCCAGCAGAAAGTCGAGATTTACAGTAATGCCCCTAGAAATCATCTTCTCCGCAGCTACGCCTGACACTGTAATTACTCTTCCAAATCCGGCGATACTGCAATTTTCGATGCTTCCTCATAACTCTAGAAAACCCCCCATTCTTCACCGCCGACGCAGAATGCCGGCCAGATTTATGAGCGAAGGGCTCCACTTTCTCCGACGCAAAAAACCATTTTCCCATCTGGCACAAAGTGTCCTCATACATGTTGAATTCAGTGAGAAGAATCCCATCTAACCCATGAACAACAAATCTCGACCCGATAAAAAGATTCGGATCGGAAACCCGAACTCCATCAATAGTGACGAAATCGTCGTCGCCCCTATTCGTTTCCACCAAAATACTGTAATGGGGAAGAAGGGTGCAAAGGTATGGGGAACAGGGGAAGTAAGGTTGCGGAGTTCACTGATTGTAAGTCGGCGAGAAGGGATGACGTGGGGACCTGTTAATTTGGGATGTGCGGGGACCAATAGGATTAATTTGGGTATTTTAATTATGATTCATTTTAGAGGAAATTGAGTGGGTATTGAGTTATGGGGCAGATAGTTAAGTTATGGGTTAAAAAAGGGGGTCAAACGGGTAGTTCAATAGGATTAAGACACGTGTAAAAAAATAGGAATCCGTTAGTGAGAGGGGTATGTGTGTACTTATAATTGGACGGCAGGGGCTTATGTGGACGCAAAGTATAACGGAGGGCATATACGTACCATTTATTAAAGTTCGGGAGTAAATCCGTCCTTTTTCCCTAATAAAAATAAGAAACCGTCTAACCCATTTAATTATAATGTCAAGTTGTTCAACTTTTGTCGTTAAACCTACGATTACAAGTTGTATTTTTAATTGTAATTTTTACTTTTTACAGTTTAATAATTTAGTACTCAATTGCTTATATATATTCCCAGACCTCCACATTCTGATATGATGATAACCATAACATTCTTATGCTTTCTGTACTCGTTTATCCACGTGCATGAGTGCTAAAACATATTAATTCTTCTTAAAGATCAAGGAATGATTTATTATATTCGTTATAATATTATTATTTCATTATAATTATCTAATTTGACTGTATATATCTTGGGTCTCTCCTAACAAAGAACTAATGTAGTTCTTAAGAACACACTTCTCCGTGCAAGTATAAGATCATATTTCTTTTTGCTAAGATTTAGACGTTTGTGTATATATCTATATTTGTATATTTATAAGATGTACTGTTGTATCAAAAAATTGATTACTAAATAAGTAAAATGGCTTGTTCTCATCATTTGAATATGTGAATTTTTTAATAAAAAAATTAATAAATATAAAATTTAAATAAAATACCAAAATAATCAATACTATTATAAAATATTTTCTTAAAAAAATTATATGACAGTTAAAGGTTATGATGGCTAGCGATGTTGATTGTTGGTGTCGAATGATCGATGATTATAGAGTAATGGTGATGGAAAGAGATATCATGTGGTGATCATGACGACTGCCAATGGTGATAAATTGTAAGTGTGGAGCTGATGGTGGCAATTAGCAATGATTGTTGACGATATATAGTGGGTGTTTGTTATTGAGATTCTCGCTTGTGATTGGTGATTTGAGGCGATGATTGAAAATTATGGCCTGACAATTGTGTGTTAATTGAACGCGGTAGTGATGGTGGTGGTTGTAGGTGATGGGGTGGTAGTTGATAGTGATAGCCGATAGATAACGATAAGGGCGGTGATTACTGTGAAAATGAATGATAAATTAAATCTTTAAATAAATATCTTAATTATATTAAGAGTACTTTATAAGATGAATAATTAAGAAGATCTATGATAAAATAAAATACTCTTAATATGATATTAGACCGAGTTTAAGAGGCATTTTCCGAAAGTGCTTTTATTTGATCAGCAGATTTTGCAACATACACATTAAAGATCATCTAATAAATTAAATTATTGGTCTCATCTTGGCCATTAGGTAGTCATTTTCCTAATCTAATTAGTCTTCATAATTATTGCATTAATAAAATATATTCAGCGCATCTCGAGGTTTTTGCCTCTGCATTTCAGCCAAAAAAAACAATAAAATAAAGGCAAGTTCCTATTTGGTTAATCAATCATCTTGCCTACTGTATTCAAAATATATTCTCAAATAATTGAAAACTCTCGGTGCTAAAACATATTAATTCTTCTTTAAGAACGAGGAATGATTTATTACTACAGTCAATCCATATTATAATCGACGTTTGTTATAATATTATTTCA